TTCCGGTTTCACGACTTCGAAGGTCACTCTTCACCATCTAATTTCACAGGGAATATATAACAAAAACATCCAAATACCACTTTTGAATTAAATATAGTTAACTTGAATTAGGTAGACATTTTTTTTTTCAAAATATACAAACATATAATACGATCCTTATGTAAATTAAATACCTTTAAATATACTCCAAAATAAATTAGTTTAAGCTTACTAAATATATTTTAACTTTCCCCCTAGTCCAGCACCGTTAAATTATGGTCGGCTAGCGCAGACAGCCCTCGAGTAGCTTTGTGTAAAATTCAAACCAAACCTAAACCTATTTTCTTGTCCCTTTTGTGACCCCTGACAATAGTTTTAACCGTTGCACAATTGCAACCAACCTTACTATACTGGCATCACTTCTGATATTTTACCACTATTTATTTAAATTGGCACCAAAACATGATGACATATATTTCGAAAATTAATATGTTATATTTCTATATTGCATACCCAAAAAAGGGTATGATTCTTTCAGAATTTTAAATTTGTTCAAAATACATTGATTAAATTGTTTGCTGGCATATATTGAGTTGTTGTTTGTTTGTTTTTTTCGGGAAATCTAACATAGAGGTTATGTAGATTCATCCTCAATCCTAAATAATGTATTTCACAAACATAGAACTCACTACAACCTACACATTCTGAACTATATATTATACTTATTATAGAATGCACTTAAGTAAATTATTAATAAAAAACAAAATAGTTTTATTATTTTCTTTATTGTTTTTGTAGTTCTTATACGCCATAAATTACATAAAGCACAATCCTTTCTTTTTCAACTGAAAATACCTTCTTAAAAAAAAACTCTCTTTTTAGGCATACTCAGTAATCTATATAAATGTTTAGGTTGCTTTCTTCATAAAATAATTTCATTACCTATGTATCACAATTCCTTGACATATTTTCACCGCTTTCCTGCCCAAGAGAAGTTGTATCGCTTTCTTAAATTAACATATGCAGAAAAATAAGTCACTTTAAATATTGCATGCTTTTAATTCTGTATTCTGTAGTTCCATCTTCTCTGATTCAAGGGACAGGATTTAGTTGGTCCCATGACACTTTTGGCCCTGATAGACACCATTTCCCAAATTAGTCTTCCCACAAAACAAAAAGTATACTCTTTCAAGCTCCTACATCTAATTACTTTCCTGTTTAGCAAGCTAATGTCAGGATGACAGAAAAAAATTCTTATCTCATAAATAATATATGCCAGTGGTTAGACTTTCTTGGGAGATTAACATGGTGATGCGCCTAATCAGACTGATGTTTTGAGTTAGATTAATGAGCATAAACAAAATGGTCGTCTTCACTTGAAAGGAAAATAGGTGTTAATGCAAAAACGGCCTTCTTTTATAACTCCCACGAACACTGAAATGAAAGGAACGGAACTACTAAGGGAAAGAATACCGGAGAAAGATGGGAATGAGAAAACGTCCGGTCATTTTCGATTAAATAACTCCTAGCTATGTACTTCCTCCGCGTGTGTCTAGGCAACCAACCGGACATTCCAGTTGAACATGTATCTTATCATTATATATATATACGTGACCGTGCACAAAATGATTTACGTCTTGACGTTTGTCGTTGTCATTACGTTTTTGTGGGCGAATTAATTTTGAGCATAAACTGTGAAGGAAACATTACATTGCTTTTCAGTAGCGCAAGAGTTCGAAGTGGAATTCTATTTTGTTTCCGTGGTCTCCACGTGATGGGTTCTTTGATGTACATTCAAGCATGGTTTTTTTTTTCAAGAGATGAAATAACATCTATAGGTTCTCTTTACTGCAATACAAAGTAGTTCAGGTTTACACTGGTTATAAATTCTTACCTTTGAATCAGCTTAGAACTATGTTCTTTTATTAAAGTGTTATAATAATTTTGCTGTTTTGCTTTATTCTCTTTTCATTGTGAAGAAATAATGGAGTATTAATAATTGAAAGTTTATTTCATAGATATTTGTGTATTAAACAAAACAATTTATTGTGGAACGAAACTCTCGTATATATGTGTGTTTGCACGGGCAAACACACATATCATGGTATCATTACCACAGTCATGGTAAAAAATTAGCTTAAAGTTTGTTTTTGAATTACGCGCAAAGCTACATGAGGGCTATTTGCGCTAGCCGTCCCTAATTTAGTAGTGAAAGACTAGAGGGAAGGCAGCTAGTCATCATCTCCCACCGCCAACTCTTAGGCTACTCATTTACCAACAAATATTGGGATTGACCGTCACGTTATAACGCCCCCACCGCTAGCTTAAGGAGTAGATAAAAGTATAAAATATGATAAATCATACACAAATAAGTTATGTTATTTATGTAGAATAAAATATAAACTATGTCAATAAAATACAAAAAAATGAGAAATATGAAGTGAAATAAAATAAAATATAACTGTGAAAGTTTATTTTCAATCATAATTGTATGTTTTTACAGTTTTTCTATACTTAGAAATATGTGCAGGTACAAAGATTATATATATATGTATATATACGTTTTCTGATAAAAACATTACAACATTTAACCTCAAAAGTAAACATTGACATACCACTTAACCCTAAATACATAAACTGATAACTAATAAAATAATCATATTGAAAGTTATTGTTTTTTTATCATTCACTTGATCGAAGATTTTCGAGAACTAGTTATACATCACATTTTGTTTGTAATCGAAACCCAGATTCTAGCGTAGCAAGTCCGCAGAAATACCGCTGTGCCACTAGGGGGCATCACATACGAACGATGAATGTATTTGACTTGATTTTTTTAGTAACATGTATATAAAAATAATGAAGTGCATAAAATGATCACTTGGTGATGTGTACATTATTAAAGGATGGAGCAACTGTTTAATCAACAATAAAGAATTTTCATATGTCATCTTTCAACGAAACTTCCATTAGTAGTTTGATGATGTAATTATTTTTATCTTTCACTGTCCATTTATTTATTTGAGACGTTAAAGTATTCAAAGATATCGGATTAATTGCCAGTTATGTCATTGAGAATATATCAATCTTACAGCACGACGAAGACGTACATACGCAAATGTCATTTGCAACTACACACTATACGATACATCATTTAGCAATTGGATGTTCTATTTGTAGGAGCATATTGCGAGATTAATCGCTTAAGAATCAACTAAGCTTTTCAGCCAAGGCTTTTTTTTTGTTTTTTACTTACAAAACATCATTTGTGTTTTCATATGATTATCTAGCTATCTCTTACAATGCCTTTTTACTACACTACATCATAATTATCGTTCGCACTAATGTATTTCTTTAGCACTTTTATTGGTGTGAGGTGTACGTGTTATTTACAACGTGTCGGCCAGCAGGTTGCCGCGGCGGTTGTAATTACCATAATACGAGTCGTCGGGCATGTGTACTTAATTAAAAGCTTTAGCTTGTAAAAGAGTGAACGTTCGATTCTGTTTTTTGTTTTATTTTTTTAAGTAACGCAAAAGTTTTAAACGATGTTAAATACAACTTTGGTTTAGAAAGGGACTAATATAAAAGCGTTTGTATGTAAAATTATGAAACTAAATAGTTCAGAAAACCAAACATTTA